TTCCCAAAGTTAAACTACTTGTGTCTTAAAGAATACCTATGCCAGGTGGTGTGCCGGTGTTTTACAGCAACCTCTCTGAAAACAGAACGGTCCTGATTTGTGTGTTTCCCGGCTTTTCTGGTGTACATTCCCCCAATGTGGACAATTTCAAGCTACTCACAAGCCATAATGAATGCAGAGTTCGGAAGAAATATGCATAATTGGCTCTTGCAAGCCAGTTAAGTGCGCCAGTGCCACAACAGAAAAGTAGACTCTCTTCTTGACACCAAAATCAAACAAAAGAGTCAAATGGCATGGCAACACAGTGCTGATATCCATCTTAAGATAAGGTTGCTGTTAGCATTGAGAACTTCGCAGTGACAGGCCAGTGTTTGTTCTTAGCCCTTACCGGTGTTACCCCATTAAACCTTACATTCTTTCATGGCTAAGTACTATAGCATCCTTAGTCTACAGATGAGACCCTGGGGAATGGTGAATTAAGTACTTTGCCTAAATGTATACAATTAGTCAATGCTGGACCAGAGATTCGGCACAAAGAAATGATCCCAGACTTCAGATGTCTAAGAGCTGCCTGACCCTGAGTGACTCTGGGTTCACTGTGAACACTGATTACAACAGTAGAGTGTCTCGTAGACACAGTCATTTCTAAGTGTAATGAGGGTTCTGTGTAAATGGCCCCCAAGAAAAACATTCTGAATAATCACTAATTAAATATTTTTGTATGCCGGTTGAGTAGGGATGCTATTTTATAACATGTGAACGGATGTATGTTTAACATATGGTAGATGTGTACTGACAGTCCTGTTTTCCAGGTTGTCTTTATCCTTTTGTCTTTTGAGCGCATGTAGCTTTTCAGTATCCTCGTGCCTACAACTAATAGGCCAGCAAAATAAATTTCAGTTTTAGATAAATAGCAGTTCTTTCTCCTAGAATTCTGTTGTACTTGGATAGTGACTCTCAGATTTGCAGTGTTACAGGCAAATAATTTATGCAAAATGAGCTTTGAAAGATGACATACTTTTCTACCTTTATCAGTAACTTGTAATAGGATGAATATGGTAAAATCATTTGCTAATCATCCTACATTATACTATTTTCTCCTATTCATATAAAAGGTCATTTAGCAATTGGGAAGTAAATATCTATGAATTTTCCAAAATGAATTATTTTTTGCTGTGATTTTAAATAATTTTATCTTGTGATTAGTGTTATTTACCTATACTGATTACAAAAATAATAAAAAATAAATGAATAAAAATTTAAATGTAATGTTTACATATTTATAATATATTGACATTAAAAATTATAAATAATAATATAAACAATTTTAGATCATAAACTTATAAAATGACAATAAAAGGGGTAGGAGTCTTGTGAGACTGACATGAAATGATGCATGCAAAGCACTTAGCATACGGCCTGGCACACGTGTTCAATAGGATTCACGACTGTAGTAGCAGTTACTTTACTGCCTCGTATGGTTACTCTTACTAGCAGCTGTACTGCAGAATTTCACTGAATTACAGGTAATGCAAATTACAGTGAATATTGAGTAAATCCTGTAGATGGTTTACCTTCCTACCAGAATCTATGCGGTCATCTCTAAAGTGGAAAGCAAGTGACATTCCATTAAGTTGTATGAGGAAAATGTGAAAACTTGGATATTGATGTTTTTGGGTAAATGTTATTAAAGAAATTTTTTTTGTTGATTATTAGAGCTTTCAGAAAGGAAAGTTCATGCACAAGAAGGTTATGACTTGTCTAGGAAGCAGAGTCTTCTCTGACAGAGTGGGCCTTGTGCAGCAAGGAAAAGGTGACAGCAGTGTCCAGCCTACACTTCTAAATCTTATCTACGCTCTTTCTCAACTTTATCAGCAGGGAGGATTATTTTATCAATTGGCCAAAAGATAAATAAATAACCAATTGCTGAATAGACTATCCTTTCTTTATGGTCTCACCTTTGCAACCTTGCTGAAAATCAGCTAACCGTGTGTGTGGTCCTATTTCTGTATCTAGTTTCACTGATCTGTTTGTGTCCCTTGATGCCACTACCACACTGTTTTAGTTACTGTAACTTTATAATAAGTACTGGATTTAGGCAGTATAATTTCTTCACCTTCATTCTTTGTTTTCAGAGTTGTTTTAGCTACTCTAGGTCCTTTGAATTTCCATATGAATTATAGAATCAGCTTTTAATTTCCTATAGAAAAGCCTTCTAGGATTTTGATTGGGTTGATATTTGAGAAGTTCAGTTCAAAGGGTGGTGTGAAATCTCTAACTGTAATTGTGGATTTATCGATCTGTCTCTTTTCCTTGCACTTCTGTCACTGTTTGCTTCATGTATACCAAAACTATCTTATTAGGTGCGTAGGACTTAGGGTGTTATCTCCTTGTAATGACCTCACCCTTTTGTTACTCAAAATGATTTTCTTTATTCCTGATAATAGTTTTGTTCTGAAATCTACCTTGCCTGTCATTACTAATAAAGCCATTGTAACTTTTTTTTGACTGGTATTAAAATAGTATAGCTTTTCCATCATTTAAATTTTTCCCTATGTCTTTATAGTTCAAGTAGAAATCTTATGAGTAGTATGTAGTTGACCCATACTTTTCATTCAGTCTGACAGTCCTTGACTTCTAATCATGATGCTTAGACCATTCACATTTAGTTTAGATGTAAATCTACCATCTTGCTATTTGTTTTTCTATGTATTTAATCTGTTATTTATTCCCCCTTTCCCTCTACCTTTAAAATAGAATTTTTAATGATTTTGTTTTATGAAGCAGGTTTTAACTGATGCAGATCTTCTCCACAAATAGTTTTCATTGATTCTGAAACCATTTAGATAATATATAAAAATGCAGCTGATTAGTTTGCAGGGTCAACTGATTGACATCAAGAAAAATGTAAATATATTTGAATTTCAACCAAGCAGTTAGTCATGAAGAAACAAAAATATAAGTGTAATTTTTAAGAACAGCCAAAACAATCTTTTTTTTTTTTTTTTTTTTTTGAGAGAGAGTCTCACTCTGTCGCCCTGTCACCCAGGCTGACGTGCAGTGGTGCAGTCTCGGCTCATTGCAACCTCCACCTCCTGCCTCCCCAGTTCAAATGATTCTTGTGCCTCAGCCTCCTAAGTAGCTAGGATTACAAGTGTGTGCCACCATGTCTGGCTATTTTTTTTGTACTTTTAGTAGAGACAGGGTTTAGCTATGTTGGCCAGGCTGGTCTTGCACCCTGCCTCTGCTTCCCAAAGTGCTGGGATTACAGGTGTTAGCTACCACCAATAAAACCTTAATTCCATTTTGAATCAACATACTTCCTAAGTAATACTTTTCTCAAATAGTATAACTGAAAATCTAAATAGTGAAATAAACTGAACCATCCCTTAAATCACTATTTCCAAAGGTGTTAAAGCAGTTGATGATTGATAACATTTAATGATAGTACTTTTATTTAGAAATATGTAATTTTTTAGTAAGAACAAAGACTTACTTGGTAAGTAAAATATTTAAAAATATACCCACTTAATTTTAATGTTTTAAATTTCTATTTATAATGTAAATAATACATTAATGCTGTTTGTGTGCATATAATTACTAACTGTATATTCATTCATTGGGTTTGCATTTCCACAATTTGTTTACTGATAAGATTTTCATGATCAAACATGAGAGGACTTTGAGATCACCAACAATGAAGCTAAATATTTAAAAATGATGACATAAAGAAAATATCTTCGCTCTTGACCCATTTTGCACCATTCCTTTTTTTTCGACTGTTGCTGCCAGGCTGGAGTGCAGTGGTGCAATCTCAGCTCACTGCAACCTCCACCTCCCAGGTTCAAGCGATTCTCCTGTCTCAGCCTCCCAAGTAGCTGAGATTACAGGCATGCACCACCACACCTAGCTGATTTTTGTATTTTTAGTAGAGATAGGTTTTTGCCATGTTGGCCTGGCTGGTCTTGAACTCCTGACCTTAGATAAGCCACCCACCTTTGCCTCCCAAAGTGCTGGGATTATAGGGGTGAGCCACTGTGCCTGGCTTTCATTCATATTTTTATGTGGACTGGATAGTCCTACCTATAGCTGGTGAGCTATCCTGTAGAAAATGTTATTTTAAAAATGCAAAATGTTGAGAAAGGTACTCTAGCTTACCACCATGGTTTCGGTATTAATTTGCTTTAGACAATTCCTAATTAATCCCACCTATTTAATAATTCACAAGTATAAATACTGACCCATTCCTTTGGCTCCACTGCATGTTTTTATTTTATCTCACTTATAATTTATAATTATATGTAAAACATTTACACACAGATACAGATACACAAGATTTCAACTTAATAGGATGGTGAAATGTACCTATCCATTTTGATTAATGTCATTACCAATTTATATACTTTATGGGCACAGTCTGTGACGAATGCAAACTTGTGTTACTCATTTGAATGTATTGCTGTAACACCAATAACACCCCAAATTCAGTCTTGTTAAGAATAGTAAAAATACGCAGTCAAGATAAAAACCAGAGAGGGAAATGATGAAAAGCGTCCAAGGAAATTGAATTTGATGTGCAGGTGAAACGTAGTAAAATTTTTTGTTTTAACAGATTGAGAAGTACCTGAGATCTTATACTGATATTTAAAGTACTAATATCATTTTCTGATTATAAAATGAATGTGTTTAATTTTTGTTATTTAAAAATTTAGAATTCTAGAGCATTTTAAAGAAGACAAATGCCAAGTAATCTCATTAACCAGAGATAATGTCTGATAAAAACTTTTAAAGCATTGACAGCATTTTTTAAAAGCTGTTTACTTTGAATCTGTAGTCACGTATGCATAGCCCAGTGCATATGGAAATATGGATAATAAAAAACAGTTCCACCTTGGTTTTCATTTTAGTTCTGATTCTTTAAAACCAAATTCTGAACTTCAGTGACAACACAATTTAAACATTCTTTTAATCTGGGGGATTTTTGGGGATTTGCTTTCTAGATGTATCATAGAATTCGTCACTCAGAGTGCATTTACCGGGTAACGATGGAAAAGCTGTCCTACCACAGCATTTGTACTGCAGAAGAGTGGCAAGGCCTCATGCAATTCACCCTTCCTGTGCGTCTCTGCAAAGAAATTGAATTGTAAGTATGTTGCTTCGTCAGTTTCTTCGGGAACCATTTTTAATTGAATTGAACCATGAAGCAGGTTATAGAATTAGAGTCACAGTTATTATACACATATTACATGCGGGGTTCCATGCGTTGCCATTTTCTCCCTGTGAAGTGATTTGATATTGTGATAGCATTTGGAAATAAAGGCCAGATCTCACTATCTTAAAAAAGAAAATCGGCATTCAGTTTTGAAATGAGTTAACCTAAACCTTAGCATTTCTCATTAGTCTCTTGCATACTTTATACCATGTAGTATTTAACATTCAAAATGGCATTTAACATAAGATACCAGAAAGTCCTCACTTCCGTATAAATTTAAATTTCCAAATTAAATTCAAGAATGTTGTCATAATTTGACCTTCATACTTTATTTTTTAATCCTATGTTAATATATTCCAGTTACTAGAGGGTGGGGCCTGTGATAACTTTATGTTCACTGTAAGTGTAAGCGGACACTGTCTACATAGGCAAGCTTCAGAAGTGACTTAGGTCTGATATTTGCCTTACAATTAAAATTATAGTATATCTTATGCCATACTGTTTATTCAAGTCTAATCTTGGCAACTAAATTAGCAAATGAAAAATAGGTTGTAACTTCGGTGTTTATAATAGTGAAATTATTATCAGTTAAAATAGGAGATGGAACAATTCCAGAAGGCTTTCCCCTTTTCTATGACTGTGTATGTATCTAATATTTGTAATATACCTTTTAGTACTTTTAATTTTTCTCATAACAAATGAAGCATCATTTTTAAACAGATTAATCGAAAATGAATCAATACCTCAAATATTGGACTAGATTTCTAAGGGATTATGTGGAATTTCTTCCTGGAAATCTTCAGTACTGGAGAGATGTGGCTGAGAAGGCAGGAAAAGGCATGGCTGAGCTCCTGGTGTCTCTTTAGCTCCTTGGGACAAAAAGTGAAATTATTTTCTTTAGTTATTATGTTTATTCTAATTATATTTAGTGATAAACTGCCCTTTTAAAATTTCAGATTCCACTTTGACATTGGTCCTTTTGAAAACATGTGGCCTGGAATCTTTGTCTATATGGTTCATCGGTCCTGTGGGACATCCTGGTATGAATGCCTTTAAAATTTCCTTTTTGAAATTTTGGGTGACAGAACCTCTTCTTCCTTCAACGTAGATGCCTCACCACCAGCGTCTTTGTTTATAATCATTTAAAAATATTACATATATGCATTCCTTTTTTTCTAAATATTCAAATAAAAAAGGGCTGAAATTATTGTACAAATATGCAGCCTTTTCAGATTCTCTGTAGGGGCTATTGTGTTATCTAGCAATGTGGTTGTAGCCTGGTTAGCAAATCTAAAAAGCTTTCATAAAAACAGAGGCTGGAATTGCTTTGCCTATGTAACTGAAAGAGACAGGGGTTACTACTAACCAGAATTATACACTTTTAGAAACCAGGTTTAGAATACCACATGTAAATTTAGCATCAGCTTTCAACTTCACATCATATGTCTATTAGAATAGATCAAAAGTAATGTGTCTCCTTATTAGAAGTGCAGTACTTTGTCAGTGATTTGATTATGGCACCATTTTATTGCAAATCTTTCCTCACTCACCTTGGCCTATCAGAGAGGCGTTTCCTGACTTTATATCTGATCCTTTACAGTGTAAACACAGTGTTCAAATACAAGAATAGTTTTCTTTTGCTCTTTTTTACTCATTTGGGAATTAAATGTCTTATAGAGCCTCTTAGTTTCTCTAGAACTACATTGGCATTCTTCTTGCAGCCTGTGTCTTTTCTAGCTGTGACTTTTTATAAATTAGTGTTTCAAAAGGATGCTCATAGCATACTTAACTCCAGTTAATTCTCAGAATGCAGTTGAGAGTTTGACCAGTTGGAATTCTTAAAATGCCATGCCTTATACTCCAAAGACGTTTGAAAATTTTCAGTGGAGAAAAACACAGGTTATATGTTAAGTTTTTATGAATTCTAAACTTCCCTGACTTAAGCTGTCTCACATCTATTTTGAGAGTTTGTATGGTCTTAAGTACATAATATAAAAATATATAAAGTATCCCAGCACTTTGGGAGGCCGAGGCGGGTGGATCACGAGGTCAACAGATCGAGACCATCCTGGTCAACATGGTGAAACCCCGTCTCTACTAAAAATTACAAAAAATTAGCTGGGCACGGTGGTGCGTGCCTGTAATCCCAGCTACTCAGGAGGCTGAGGCAGGAGAATTGCCTGAACCCAGGGGGCGGAGGTTGCCGTGAGCCGAGATTGCGCCATTGCACTCCAGCCTGGGTAACAAGAGCGAAACTCCGTCTCAAAAAAAAAAAAAAAAAAATATATATAAAGTATAACATTTGTAAAAATATACATTCTATTATGTTATATACTGTGTCAGTATTTGGTTATGGTCATTAGATACTTCATTTGAGAGTATAATAATACTTAATACTTTGGAATTACTTTGAAAGTGTAGTCACTCTAGAAAAGTCTCATGATATTTGCCGTTTGTAAGTCTGAATATTCCTTTTGGAAAATCTTAGCTCAAAATACCCTTTAGCAAGATGGTGCTATGTTGTCTTTTGAGCACTGTGGGGTGTCGGAAATGAACATAAAACTAAGGAAGATCATGAGGGCTGGTGACAGGTGACTATGTGCCAATACTGGTATTTTCTCGCTGAGGGGACAGTTACTACATCAGAACAGATACTATCAAAGAGTCTTTATTCTCTCCTTCTTTGCTGGAGAAATGGAAAGGAAATGGTGATTGAGTTTTCAGTGCTCATGGACTCAGTCAGCCTGGAAATCTTTAGAGTTGCACAAATATAAGGATACAGACATATGTGTACCTGAACTAGAGGGTTCTCCTACAACATAGTGATTCGCTACCGGTTTCAGTCATAACAATTTCTTTTCCATGCAGCTTTGAGCTTGAAAAGTTGTGTCGTTTTATTATGTCTGTGAAGAAGAACTACCGGCGAGTTCCCTATCACAACTGGAAGCATGCGGTCACTGTCGCGCACTGCATGTACGCCATACTTCAGAACAACCACACGCTTTTCACAGACCTCGAGGTGGGTGTGCACTCTTTACCACTGCTCCTCGTAACCTCCGTGGACTGAATACTGCCTATCAGGAGCACATTGTTGACATGGATTTGTGACCTGTTATTCCAAGAAAATGTTTGTTTCAATAAATCAATAGCAGGCCATTTTTAGATTCCAGTATCCAAACATTTAGCATACTATTTTGTATAAGAAATGTAGATAAAAGAAATTTTAACTTCACCAAAATATCCCCCAAGGAAACACTAATTTTGTAGTCTCTCTTCTCTATTAAAGCTTAAATGTTCTGAAGGGATATAAACAGTGAATTTTATTCATTGCTTACATGCCCTGGAAAATGTAGACTCATCCTGCCAATTTCAGAACTTAGAGTATTAAATACAGTGAAGACGTAAGTGGTTTTGGTCTCCTCTAGCATGAGGAAGCAAAGGGTCCGAAATGTTTAATTAATTTACATGACTGTAAATACCCAGAGTTAGTGACATTTTCAAAGCTTTCAGAACCTCAGAGTTAGAGCTGGAGATGGCTGCTTCCATTCACCATTCACAGTCAAATTCCCTTACTTGAAAGCCAGGCTAAGTGCTTAGACTCCTGGCCGCAAAGGTTGCTGATTCCACATCTGAACAATCCTGACCTTGAAGGATATTCCTCCCTCTGACCACGTGGGGCCTGGTAGTGTCTACTCACACCTTAGATGGAGTCCTCCCTTCTCTCCTTTGTAAAACTGGTATAATGTTTTAGGTGACGTACGACTGTGCAGAGAAAGGAGCTGTCATCTTTGTGATAAATAAATTGTGCTTTTCTCAGATTCACATTTAAACTAGAATCCAGTACTTGTGAAGGTCCATCCTATTCTTTTTCCATCCTACTGGAACAAATTCACGGTCTGAGTAGAAAACTAGAAAGGTGCATTCTAGGAAAATCAAAAACAAAATAAAATGTAGCATTTTGAAGAAAGAATAAAAAATTATCCTCCAGTTGTTTTTCTTTTTTAAATCTTTAGTTCAAGTGGAGTTTAGCCTAATCAGTCAGTTATTTATTTATTTATTTGGACAGGAAGAATTTAAACTGTCTTTATTGACAAGTACCATGATCGTTTAAGTAGAAAATCCCATGAATTTTTAACCAAAAAAGATTTTTCTATCAAAAAGCTATAGAACTAATGAATTTATCAAGGTTGCAGAATACAAGATTAATATACAAAAATCAGTTCTACATATTAGCAATCAACTGTGAGAAATAGATTTTTTTTTTTTGGTAGTGACAGGGTTTCTCCACATTGCCCAAGCTGGTCTTGATCTCCTAGCCTCAAGCAATTTGTCCACCTCAACCTCCCAAAGTGCTGATATTATAGGTGCAAGCCACCAAGCGTGGCCTATTTTTTGTTGTTGTTGTTGTTGTTATTTTTGTAGAGTCAGGGTCTCTCCATGTTTCCCAGGCTGATCTCAATTTCCTAGGCTCAAGTGATCCACCTGCCTTGGCCTCCCAAAGTGCTGGAATTACATGTGTAATTCCATGTGAGCCACTGCACCCAGTTCAAGAAATTGAATTTTTAAAATTACTATTACAATATAACAAAATATGAAATAAAGACAAACTTGACCAAAAACGGTATAAGATTCATACAATATAAGCATTGCGAAGAGAAACTACTAACAAAAAGAAAGTTTTACCATGTTTGTATATCAGAAGACTTCGTATTGTTAACATGCCAATTTTCCCGAAAACTGATCTGCAGGTTCAATTCAACCCTAGTCAGAAATCTCATATATATATATATATATATATATTTTACAAATTGACAGGCTTGCTCTAAAATTCATATGGACATACAAAGTACATAGAATAGCAAAACAACTTTTTTTTTTTTTTTGACATGGAGTCTTGCTCTTGTTGCCCAGGCTGGAGTGCAGCGGCACAATCTCGGCTCACTGCAACCTCCGCCTCCCAGGTTCAAGCGATTCTTCTGCCTCAGCCTCCTGAGTAGCTGGTATCACAGGCACACGCCACTACGCCCAGCTAACTTTTGTATTTTCAGTAAAGACTGTGCTTCACCATCTTGGCCAGACTGGTCTTGAACTCCATTATTTATAACTTCCCCCCAAAAGATCCAATTGAAATCTTTTCTTTTTTCATATTTGTCTAAACAATGTTTTTTTCTATTGAAATCCGTGTATTGAGACTTTCAGCATTTTCTCCATTCTGTTCCTTTTAAGAAAGCAATTTCATTGTCTTGTTTTGCCATTTTGCCATACCCTGTGAGTTTAAGAATTATAGAAATTATACTTTCAAATACCATTAGAATTTATATTAAAAAAAATTGAAAATTTGAAGATAAGTGAGAAAAACTGTTGATACATGTTGACTCTCATTTAAGTTCCTAAGTCATTTCTGGAATTATATCATTACATTTTCCCAAAACCTCAGATCGTTTTGGCTGAAAAATAATCCCCAAATAACATACGCAAATATTTAAAACGTATTTTATAAAGAGGAAATTTAATCTCTAACAGAACCATTAGAAGTTATCATTTGATCTTTTTAAAGGGAAATGCTTAAGAAGGGTAATTCTTTATACATTATTTTCAGATGTATGGTTCTGGCACACCTTTAATAAAATAACTGAAAGTTATTTCAATTTTAAAAATGAGTTTAAAAACTGGAAAGATGATAACTTTTATGTATTATGCAAGATTATAAAACCTTGAGATTTCTTAGCAGGTACATGATGATAACACAGCAGCGTAAATATGGAAACCACCCCAAAACAAAATGATACTAACCACACAAGTAATTCAGTTATCTTAAGAATGCCAGGCAACTGTGATTGCTAACATGATGTTTCATGGGGTTAGGGGATACTGGTGAGATTTCCCTTCCAATTATGTTATGGGAAAAACCGGTTCGGCCTTATCAGGACAAAGAAGAAGCAGACATATCACTAAAAATGCACCTGTGAGAAGCTCTGCTGACTCCCATAGCAGCACTCCCATCTGTCAGCGTCTGCCCTCAGCAGGCTCTGCTAGCACACCTCCCTTAAATCATCATGCTCCTCTCCAGAGCTGACCCTTCTCTTTATCATCTCTGTCACCTCCACCTCTTTGAGAACTGCCTTCAATGCTTCCCACTCTTCTCTTTTCCTCCATTATCATGCTCTCACCCCTCTTCTCTGGATCATTGCCAACTACATGTAAGCATGCATTTTTGACTTCCGTCTCAGAGTATGCTCTGATCTGCTGCTCTGCTCAGCTCCCTCCCTGTTTCTTAGCTCTTCTTTGCAGAAACCCCATGGAAGTGTTAACCTACTGGCTCTTTCAAAATCCTCTCCTCGCATTCTGTCTGAAAATGACTCTGAGCTAGCTTCTGACCTTAACACCCCAGAAAGCACCCTGCTCCAGGTCACCAGTGACCTGCATGTTGTGAGGTCCAAGGGTCAGTACTCAGTGACTTCACTTGAATCCCGGGACACTCGGCTCTTGGTTTTTCTGCGGATGCACTGGCTGTTCCTCCCTTGGGTTTTTTGTTGTTGTTGTTTCTTATTCCTTCTTTTTCCTCAAGTATTAAAGGTGGAATACTTGAGAGCTTAGACCTTGACCCTTTTCTGTCCTCAAACTATGACCTTGGTGAGCTCAGCCAATCACGTGGCCTTAAATGCCACATGAGCACTGACAGTTTCATTTCTCCAGCCAAGGGCTATCTCTAGACCTTGAGGTTTCAACAGCTTCTACCTGACAAATCAAAATCTCCACTTGTCAAATCTCCACTTGCCCTTCGAGTAGACTTCTCACCCAGTCTGAATATGAACTCCTGACCTCTCTCCTCAAACCCGTTCCACCTACAGTTCTCCCATATCAGTTGATGGTAATCATTACAGCTTCTAAGGCCAAAAAAATTGAGGTTATATCTGACCCCTCCTTACCTCCTTCTTCCTCACACCCTGACAGTCAAAAACTCCTGTTGGTTCTGCCTCCAAATTGCATCCAGACTTTAACCACCCCTTAGGAGCCTTCATCGTTGTTATCCCGGTCGAAAGTTCTAGTCCATTTTGTCTCAGTTACTTTAGAAACCTCCTCAGCGATCTCTCATCCTTCTGGAGTTTGTCTTCAACACACAGTTGCCAGAATAATCTTCTAAACATATAAGCAAGATGATAACACTGCTCTTCCAAAACCCTGTACCAATATTTCCCCAGTCACTGAGAATGTAAGGCCGATGTGATGACTGCCTTCCCCAACTCTGCCCCGCTGGCCGCCGCCCTAACCCTCCAAGTCTCAGGGCACACTCGTCTTCAAGTGTATGTTCTCACTGCTCCCGGGCCCGGTGTGGTCCTCTCCCACACTCACCTCTCCTCTCCTTCCTCTCTCTCACCTCTCCGCTCACCTCTCCTTCCTCTCTCTCAGGCCTTTGCTCACACCTGGCCTTTCATGAGGCCTGCCTGCCTGCTTTATTTCATAACCAACCTGACTCCCTCTAATTCCCTTTAGCCTGCTCTGCCTTTTTCCTATATGTTTGCCTTTTTTACATGTGATACATGATTTACCTGTCATATTTATTGTTTATAATAGCAATGGCATTGTTAGAATTTAACACCGAATAGATTTTGTGGAAACTGGCTTTTCTTTCTTTGTGCAGATTTGCTTTATCTGTAATTCTTTGGAACATCTGTTTTTATACCACCTTTAATTTGATACCTCCTGCACCTTTTCCTAGAGTTAAGAGAAAAACTCAAAAATAATTTGACTGTCAGCTTCATAAGCAGAGAAACAAAGAAAGGGGCTACAAATAAGTTAGATTATCTGGAATTTCAAATATCTCTACGGGTGTTTGCTGTATTAATGCCAGAAAGTAATGTGACATGAACGTGAGCTGTCAGTGTGCTCGTTTGTTTCTGTGTTTTGAATGTCTTTGCATCATATTATGTTTTAAAGCGCAAAGGACTGCTGATTGCGTGTCTGTGTCATGACCTGGACCACAGGGGTTATAGTAACAGCTACCTGCAGAAGTTCGACCACCCTCTGGCAGCTCTCTACTCCACCTCCACCATGGAGCAGCACCACTTCTCCCAGACGGTGTCCATCCTCCAGGTGAGTCCCCTTGCACCATCTCCCGCTTTGTCTGAAGGGCTGCCTAAGCGATAGTTACACTTCGTAGGTGGAAAAGGAAGATCGGTATGGCTTCCTCAAAACCAACAGCTACATTTTGTAGTAGGACCTTATAGTTATAGTCACAATTAAATAATAGTGTTTTTTGCATAAAGAATTCTTTACAAAGATTTTTTAATATATGTATTTCACAATCACATTTGTTTTTAAAATACTATATCAATAAGCACATGGAATCCTAAAGCAATACTTATTTTACATAGTTAAAATCAATTAATTTTATAGATTAACGTATTCTTGAACCAGAACGTATTAAACAGTAAAGCTTTGAAGTTAGGGAAATTTAAGGTTTTAGGTACATCGTATGTAACCGTCTTATTTTTTTTTACATTTTCTGTTTTTCTACTTTGTTGCTTTTGTGATGTCTTGGTAATTGGTATAGACAATCCCAGATAGCACTTCAATATGACATATATGCTCCTTCTTTCTTAAACGGTTTTTCTCAAACTCACCTTTAAAAGGGAGCTGTTACATCATAATGATTTGATTCCTATCACAAACAATTTTTGAAAAGATCATCTGTGTGCGGCTTAAGATAGTGGACCCTGTTTGTTCCCTTCACCGTCAGCGTCTCTAAGTAGGAAGAGAAATTACTGTTACATCTTCTGATGATATGTCTAGGGGAAAGGGTTTTGAGTTTGCAGGATGTCCCCTCAAAATGCCAACAGTGACTCTACCAGTAATTGGCCACAGGCAAGTTGCAAAGCAGGAAGACTTTGCCACTTGGTGCAGTTTTTCTCTGTTGGACGGCCTGGGCCTCCTCTAGATGCCAGGATTTTTTTCTCCCCTCAGTTTCCCAAAGGCTTCTATTAGTGCCTCCTCATTTAACTGTCCATATGATGGGCAGTGCTACACGCTCAGTTCTTTTTAAAACTCGGAAGCTTACCTGTCCAGGTCTCCTTTACTCAGGCCTACGCAGGTCAATGATCACCTTGCTCTGTTGTGCATGCTCTTCTAATTACCTGCTGGGTAAAAGTGAACAGTATTTTAGATATGGAGCGAGTCACTTTCAAGCCGTCCCCAGTAGGTAGCAGATGTTCAGCTTGCTCATGGGCCAGCTCAGTCCTGAGAGCAACATGTAGTCACCATTTCTGTCATTTGCTCCATAGCAGCTTTTTAAACAACATGTGTTTGGATAGCTAGATATATACATGCATAAAACAGGCATACATAGAAATTTAAACAGGATAAAATGTGTGTGTGTCTATGTATGTGTACATGTTTATACATATGTGTAAAACATGCTTTTTGTAAGCAGATGGACATTCTAAAACTTCATGACAGCTTATACCTACTTTGACCTCACTCATCATTTGAGACTATTTGCTTGCATAAGAAGAATGCCAGAAACAACATCAGGATGACTTCACTTAGAAATAATTAGGAGTCACTGAATTAGCATCCCATGTTCTAAATGAATTTGTACGTTTGACAGTACGACATTGCTAGCAGTTTAATCACAACTGAATTTTAATAGCCAATATAGAGTTTCTTTTGAAAGCCTATTTTAAATATAATAGGATTAGTTTTGAAGTAGGCCAGAATTGCAAACTTTAGTGCCACTGAGTAGAATAAAAAATAAACCTTGTAATATGGCAGTCACATGAAGGCAGGTGGAATGGGGAAGCTCCAGGTCCACCTAAGTCCTAAGAAGACTTGGCCCAGTTGCTACCATCAAAAATGGATGTTTAGGGTGATTTGCCTCCATTTTGGCAAACCCTCAGCAAGGTGGAGATTGCAGATTATGTAATGCAGTGTTCCTAAAAATGATCAGAACTAATAACAAGAACTCATGGCAATAAGTTGAGACAGGTAAGCTGTTGGCATTTAAAAAGTTGCAGGAGAACAGATTTAGATATTAGAGCTGGTATTTCAGTCATTGGTGAGATAGTAATAGCAAATTCGTTCTTCTGCTTAGAGAAGATAAAGTACCAGGTACATTGCAAAAATCGAAGCTGGAACTAAGAACTAGGGATTGCCATAAATTCAGATGCAAAGCACTACCGGTTTGAAAAAACAAATGTATATATTTGATTGACAAAAACCCTTCCATTTGAGCTCTGCCCAGGGAGAAATAATATCGGGGTCATAAACAGACAGCCCCATCTACATGGACAGAAATATTCAGAAGAGTATCTTCCTTCTCTGAAAATGTCTGTACTCTTGGCTGATTTTGCAGTTATCCCCATGATACTTCTCTGAGTGTTTTTTCAGATTCATCTAACTGGTCCCTAAAATTCAATTTAATAACAAACATATTTATTGAGCACCCTCTATTTGCCAACACCTGTTTTAGGCACTGGAAGTATAGTGATAAACAGAACAAACAGAAATCCTTGTCCTCTGGAACTCACAGTCTAGAGTGAGGAAGGCCTGAGTCCCCTGACTTCTGCCCTTACGTTGTTCTCATTGGCCCACCACCTGGCCCACCTGTGGCTGTATCTGACAGTGGTACCCTGAGGACTCTGAGACCCGTGTGATCCTGCCTAGTGCTCAGTCGGACTTCTGCCCAAGCGCTTGGACTCTGTATTCCACATGGCCTGAATTGTGCTTGGTATAAACTTGCGTAGGTGCCTTCTGTATTTTATGTCTCTGTGGTGGCAACCTCATTGACCCAGGAATGCAGGCTGATGACCTTAGAGTCATCACTTTCCCCTTCTTTAGCCATATCTTCCCATTCTTCATCCCATTACCATCAAGTCCTGCCGATTTTATATTTCATCAGAAGACACCTACAAGCTTGACTAATTAAGATGATATCCTTGTGTAACAGTTAAAAACTCCAACTTCCAGTCGTTAAAATAAGACAGAACAATATGTACTTTCATGATATGAATACCTGATACTTCTGTTTATCCCAAAAGATTTTTCCCATTGCTTTCTCGATCTGCATTGCTAAAGACGTGATCGTAAGCATGGCACTGTCCACCCTCTGGCCACAGAGCCAGATACAACATAAGCAACTTTGTATGTCATGGTTGGAAATAGTTCCCTGTCCGGCATCCTCATAGGTGTGTGTTGCATATGGGGCTGCTTATTGTAGTTTGCCAACTTGAGGACCAGCTTTCAGTATGGCTGCCAGTGGCATCTATTGGATAAGCAGGGCATTCAGAAGAGTACTGCCAGCTAACATGGTGACAATGGCAAGCAAGGAGAATAATATAGTAGACTTTAAAAGCTAACCTTCAGGCTAGCTCTCTCCCCTATTACACACACACACATACACACATCCACACACGTATGTTACTCATGGTAGAAAAGCAGGAAGTGCGTATTTGCTCACAGCTTGCCTTAACCTTGGTTGCAGTGGTAGGGACGCAGTAGGTAGTCCCTTGTTGAGTGGGCAGTGGGAAGAGATTAAGTCATGGAGTAAGGGTAAGTATAAGAGCATCTGCAGAGAAGGTCAATCTCCGTTCTCATCTTTCTCTGAGCTTCCCATGGTGTGTAAATGCTGGGCATCTGGATTGTGTTCACGGCATTTGGGGCCCATCACTGTATAGATGGTGGACATTTAGCAGAGAGGAAAGTCTCACTGGAGTCTCTAGTAAATGGTTATCTTGCCCCTCTGACCTCTACAGCCTCCAAGGCATCACGCGCCGTCCCTACCTGACATCCCGGTTTCAGCCTTCATTGTATTTTGTCTGTCTTTTCGCCTTTCCCACCTTATCCATCACTGTTTCTCCAAGTGCTTGTCTCTCAAATCACTCCTCCAAATATATGCCTGGATGTTTTTCTCCTATTTAAAAGCCATTAGTGGCTCCCCGGGGCGTCAGGAGTAAATTTCCTGGTTTCTCAGTTGATACGCAAGTCTTTTATGAGAGGCCCCTGTCTGTTCCAGGACCATAGTATTTACTCTGCTTCTATAGTTTGAGATCGTGTCGTAACTCTGTACCACTGGCCAGCTTTCCTCCACACGTGCTTCCCCCACACCCTTTCTGTGGCCTCCCACTCAGGTATGGCCTCATCCAGTAAAATTCTTTTAAGTGCCTCCCCACAACGCTGGGGTGCATCACTGCCCCTTGTACACAGCGCAGAGCGCCCAGGAATACATATATCTTAGTGGTTGGTTGTTTTTTTTTAACATTGTATTGAAATTTTCTGTTTGTGAGTTAGGCTTCCCACCTCTTCTGAATTAGAAGCTGACAAGGAGAGTCATTGCCCCTTGCAGACTCACAGGCCCACCTCTGGGGCTGTTGATACGGGCACAGGGGGAAATGTGAAGGTAGAGCATGGGGAGAAGGGCAGAGTGGGCGGAACCTGCACTAGGAGACCTGAAACTGGAGCTTTATGTAAGGAAAGTGAGTAGCTATGTCCGGTGGGGCAGAGAGCTGAGACGCCGAGCTCGGGAAGGCAAATGTAACGCCTTCAAGTGAGGAGATTGTTAATGGGAACAGTGACATCCAAGAAAGTAGGTTAGCTTCGTTTTCTTGCCTAAAAACTGACTAGCTTACAATTAGTAACTGTGATAGAACCACTATTGCTGGAATAATAAATCAGTTTATTCTGTTTACTCATGAGATATTAATGATTATTTTGAATATTGAAACTATACTTTTTTCTTTCTTTTGCCTTCTGTGAGTACCCTATTTTGACTTTGAAAATAGCCAGAATTTTAGAAAATAGACCAATTAGGAAAGATTATTCTCATTATTAAGACTATTTTTTAAAATTCCACTAATTTTAAATTATCTGTTGCTTTTGAAATATGGTCATATATCTGAAAATTATCTATTTATACCCACACCTTGGGATCCCATGGCTTTTTACTAGTTTGTATAGCAGTATGATTTCTGTGACTCAGCTAGAGGGTTCTTCCAATTAGTCTGCACTACGTAGAATTTACTGTTATGTATTACAATTACAGCAAAATTATTGTACCTATATTCAACACTACCCGTGCTACTAATCTAAGATATATGACATAGCGGCTAGTTTAAATCTGTCCTTTTCTACAGATATGTTCCGAATGGAAGAGGTATTTGGCTGTCAGGTGCTTTTCTAGGCATATATTTGTTTGTTCATCTCTCTTTCCCATAATTCTGACTGTGGAAGTTACACTGGTAGATTTCATCATCATCACCATCACCATCACCATCATCATTGTTATAACAGTCATCATTTTATCATGTATTGGGTGCTTACAGTGAACCCGAAACTTAAGTATTTTGCACATATTTTAATACAGCTTATTTTTATTATATCCCCATAAGATAGGTATCATTATTTTCATTTTACAAAGGAGAGTAATATGTGTTAAAGAGTTTAAGTAATCTATTTGTCACATAACTAATACAGAATGACATTAAAAACTAGAATTATTTGACCACAAAATCTGCGCTCATAATTACCATAGTTGCATCATTGACTTATTTTCCTGAAGCACCTAAATGATTCAGCCCATACCTCTGGCTTTCTGTAGCAGTGCTTGACACAGTGGGGCAGGATTGCTGTAGATCAAGGCTTGGACTGGTTGTCATGCAGGCATAGAAATTTGAGCTTCAGGGTCTTTCCGTAAGAATCTCCTTTATAGGGCCTGGCATCCTAGGACTTTTTGAGGCATTATTTATGATTAATAATAATATGTTTCAAACTGTCTGAGGAAGACTGTCAGTCTGCCTTCCTGCCTTGGTTCTGGCCTACCTCCAGTCTACATTGTTGCTAGAATGAAAGCTCTGAAACACAAATCTCATCATATCGCCACCTAACTTAAAATTGTCAGCAGCTCATAAATACCTTCCCGATCATATTTCAGTTCCATAATCAAGCCATTCAAAAACTATTTGAGGTTATTACTCCCTATTTCCCTATTCAATTTGCTTAGCTGTATGGACTTCCTGTAGTTCCTACCAAATATCACTATATCTGTGATCTCAGCTGCTCCATGTCACATGCTGCTCCTCCTACCTCTACTCGTCTTTCGGAATTCACATCCTCACCAAGGAAAAGCCTTACATGTAAATAAAAGACTTCTTCCATAGTAATGTGTTTAGCTCAGTCATAGGGAGCATTCCACTCTATTTTAATTACGTGCTTTTATGCCCAGATGTCTCCCACTAAACTGTCAACTCCTTAAAAAATGAAACTTATACTGTTTGGGACTTTGATATAGTAATTACCAAACTACTCATGTCCTTACACAAAATGGAGCACTGCAGATTAAATACCTGCCCAGAAAAGGAAGACATACTGTATGTTCTTCATTGTGGTGGGAAAGACAGCTGTGGCAAGAAAGCAGTGGCTTCTTAATGCCCCAGCAGTGGACAGAATACTTAGAGCCTTTAGGATCCCCATGATTAAGGGCTGGAAGGGATTTTGATGATCATCTATTTAGGGGAGTCCCTGGGTCATCTTTAAGCATTGGCACCAATTTCCACATTGTTTCCATTCTCTAACATCAGCTCTCAGCCACAGCATTTACAACCAGAGCCTACCTGTGTGCTTTCACAGAGATGAGAATTACATGCTGTTCACCCCTATTAAGTTTTAAAAACATTCCTGGGTATAAAAAGTTTACTATTCCATGCTTGATGCATGCAAAATGGAATCAGCTAGCTTGAATTAACATAGACTTCAAACTACTTAACTATAATAAAATTATCAATTGTTGTATACGAGTATTACATTGTATTATAAGGCTTTATTATGTGTTCACAAATGTGAGATTGGAGGTTTAAAGAAGATACTGTTTGTCTACTGTGCTTCATTGCTTTATCTCCCTGCCTTATTTTCTTTAGTTTGGGTGGCAGCAAATGCTAGATTCTCTTAAAGAAAAGGGAGACATTTATTTTTTGTTTATGCATTCATTCCCTTTACTTTTGTAAAATATTGAAGGAGACAGCAAATGAGTTATGCCTTTTTATTATAAAAACCCTCTGCTGAGCTTTTTCACCTAGTTTCCTTTAATACTGAAAAGTAATGACTCTGAAATAGCATAAATTATTTCAAACAAATCTTAGTTTTGGGTCAGTCGACACTTTTGGGAGTCTGATAAACACATGAGCTTACAGATGACACACTCAGTGTATTATATAGAACTACAGTGAGCTTATAACTCTTTTGTTCCCAACAGAATTTATAGAGCCTAGGCTAAGGAGGCCTTATTTTAGAAATTTTTTAAAAATTTCAACAGCAGACTCAAGTTTTTATGTACTGTGATTTAACAGGTTATGGTGGTAATTATTGGTGATAAAGAGAGTAGAGCATGGAAATACAAAGCATCAAAATGGATCAGCTGTGATTCCCTTCACATGACCTGCAGAAAGCAGATATGTACATGAGCACCAGCCAGGCGTACTGAAACATGAAGTGGGAAATGCAGGTCACAGGCATTAAGTGTTGGTGCAGAGGCGATGGTCACATCAGAGGAAAGCAGATACCACAGCATGAATCAGAGTAAAGATTTCCTTCTTCTGACTTTGTACAGCAAAAACGAGGAGAGTTGAGGTTGGATGATAATTGGGTTCAGCCAGCAGCCCAAAGCTTGACTCCCCTCCTGTTGTCCCCATCGGTCACTAACCAGCCTGTGCTTGAACAGCTCAACTCATAGCGTCTCATGCACAGTCCATGTGGGAACTCTGAACTAAAGTGAAGGCGTGTGTTTGAAAGTGCTTTATAAGCTGTAGAACTTCCTACAATCGTAAGGCCTTACTACGGTTATTGCCAGGAAAATAACTAGAACTGAGTCCATTTGTTGCATTTATCATATGATAATTCAAATACTTCTAAGACTTTAAGAGCAAATAATATAGGACTATTCTAGTAATCGAATACAAATGGTTCGTGTACAGTTTCATTTAAGAATATGAAGAGACATTGTCTTGGTGAGATGTCTAACTTTGTAAAGAAATACACTTCAATCATTTTAAGTTTTTACTGCATTTTAAGCCAATAAATGTATATTAAGAAAAGTGAAATTAATTAAAAATCAACTTAGAGTAGTACTTTATTGACTAATAATGAAATAATATCAAGTGATTGATGAATCTACAAATTGAATGCATCTTAATTATCTCAAACTTTTCAGTTTTAACAAAAGCTTTTTTTTCTCAATTACAAATCAAAACCTTAAAATCTCCAGAGGAAGAAATCATTGTAAATTTTTTAAAAGATTAATACACAGAAGAATATTCTGAGGCAATAGAATTCAGATTACCAATGTTCTGGTCTTGTTTCGGGTAATGATCTGCCATTTCCACCTCCCTTGAGAATAGAAGATGATCCTAGAGTTGTTGTACCTTCAGTAATTTGTGTTTTATGGAAAGGATTTTTGCCCTTAGAGTTTTTGATGTGTTTGAATACACATTATATTGAGGTTGTAGGACACTTTCTAGTAGGATACAGAGAAGTATATTACTATTCATTAGGCATGCTTTGATATGCTACATCCTGAAGTGGACAAAGATACAGCTGGCTTTTTAAGCCCATTACGGTTCTAGTATAATACAAAAATTACTGAAGTTTTTAATTAGCTTAAGAGGAAAAGTCTTTAACTTAAATATTTTACATTTTCAAGTTGTTTATTAGAAATATGCAAGAACTAGGTATATTTAAATCACTGCGGTTTTTGTGGTAGGAAATGGCGTGACTGTAGTTGAAACAGCTGCTTTAAATGGTAACTTCATTGTTTCTGGAGCCAAAATATATTTTGTTAGTCATTTCAAACTATTCTTTTGTTTCCCCCAGACCTTGCATTAGGGTGCCAAATGTCATTGACCGACTATATTGTTTCAAATAACTGAAAATGTCATAAGATTAGAGCTTGTGCTTGTTATTGGTGGTTTTTTTATTTGTATTTTTTCCATAGTTGGAAGGGCACAATATCTTCTCCACCCTGAGCTCCAGTGAATATGAGCAGGTGCTTGAGATCATCCGCAAAGCCATCATTGCCACAGACCTTGCTTTATACTTTGGAAACAGGAAACAGTTGGAGGAGATGTACCAGACCGGATCGCTAAACCTTAATAATCAATCACATAGGTAAAAATAATTTTAAAAAGCTTAGAAGCTCAGAAAGTGTTATCTGGAATAAATTGATACTTAAGAAATATAATGTGGCATAAGTTTATGTTTGAAAAAAGAAATGTAAAAGCTTTACATGTTTTTCATTTTATGTACATCTTGTTTATATTTACTTTAGACATTTTGTTGTTTGACAGAGTTGCTGACAATGTCTAGAGAAGATAATTAAAATACAGATTGGAAGTTAAACTAGTCACACAGGGACTGGCACCTTGAAAAGGAAAGGCTGGCGTGATGTTTTCGCAAGAGGTCCCTTCTTGCTTTAATCACCATTCAGGGTCTGGCCGTTAGCCTCAGCAACTCAAGAGCAAATGAAATTGCATTCCTGTTTCAGAGTCCAATCCTATTAAGCAAGCTAATGTGATTGATGTAGAAACTGGACTCCCCTTTCATTGATCTGCAAATGTACGATGCAGTCACAAGGATCAGAATGTTGGCATCCCATGGCGTCAGAATCATTTAGGAAGCCAAGTTGCAATAAAAAGTTTATTTGGTGAACATGGAATTAGAACAAGGAGGATTAGATAAATTATGTGTCCTAATGGAATCAAGCTAAATTAGTCTGATGCCCTTTTGTTTCTGAGGATGAGTGTCTTGCCTAGTAGATTCAGAAATATGTCAGGTATGTTCATTATGAACCTGTTCACCCATCTGTATATGAGATCTAAGTTCATTGGCTAACCTGCCATCATCTCCCCATGACAGTTTGTAGTGGCAACACTAGCTTTTATTGCTGTGGCTTTCCTGTTCCTGTTTGCATGTCTGACCAACTTCATCTTAAGTGAGGACATCTTTCTCTCTAGGCCAGCGAGCACTTCTCTACTGCTTCCATGCCAGTCTTGCTGAATTTGGATTTACACTTTTTGTCCAGGTGTTCTGTATATCTCCTCTGTGATTCATTAAGTAGTGATCCTACATTTGTTCTCTGGGACAGCCTGTTTTAAAGTTCTTAGAAGCAATTCACTATTCACTCAGGTACACCAAACGCAAAATATTAGTTTTACAAATGACTATAGATATCTAATAAAGTTTACCTCTTCAAGAATAAATACTATGTGTATAATGATATTGATGCCTTTAGATAAAAAGCAGTTCTTTATGATTGAACTTACTTTCAAACTGGACACCAGATTTTGTAGAGCTTGAAACTGTTACAATTTAGGGAATGTTATTTAAGAAAACAATACATGCTTTTACCACTGTATCTTTGTTGCTTTGAAATCTATTTTATCAAATGTGAGAATTGCAAGGATCAATGCAATAATAAGAGATCTTAATACCCAGATACATAAGACCCATAATGAGATTTAGACTCAACGAGACGGAAAATTAATAAGGATATCCAGGACTTCAACTCAGATCCGGAACAAGTAAACTCAATAAATATTTATAGAGTTCTCCATTTTAAATACACAAAATATTGATCAGCCATTATTAATACCCATTTTTAGAATGAAGCAATATTCCTGTTCTCTCTCCCTCTTTTTCTTCCTCTTTCTTCCTCTCCTTCTCTCCTTTTACTTTTCAACATCCTAGTTCCTCACCTCTACTCAATACATTCCTCTGAACACCTGATTCCTTGCGATTCTCCCGTCCCACTGAAACCTCCAATCCATTTTAAAAAAAAAAGAAAACAATACAAAGAAATCTTATCTTCACACATAGCAGTCTGACGTCATTGCCAGGGCCTCTCCCAGGACCATACAGAGGGTTGGAATCAGGGAAAAGCCACGGAACGTCCACTAGGATGTTCTAGCATATCCTTCTTTTCCCTCAGCCCAAGTGAGAAGTGTGGTCTATAGTCTTTATGTCTCCAGTAGGTTGTGTGTAGTCCTTGTTCCAAGACCCACAGCAGAGGTGCTTGTTCAGTATTTTTTTATGTCAATTCTAAGATCAGGGAAATACAGCCTTAAGGAAATATTCCTTGGTTTCCTGAAACCCATGTGCTTTCTTTTTCTTTGGCGGGGTGGGGGTTTATAAGTAAGAATCAGATAACTAGTATCTGGTTTCTCGACTATATTCTTTTCAGCAGAATGATTACAATAATTAGTATAAAATAGAAAATTTAAGCATTTACTTGAAAATAACATCACTTTTGGTACTCATGTACATATGTGTATGGTACATACTGTATAATTATGCATGTTTAATTTTTTATACATGATAATGAAAAGCAATTTAAACAAACATGCATTGGAACATGTGTTGGAAGGTAAAGCATTTTTAATAATTCAAATAATGTAGAGGTATAAAGAAAAAGTAATATATTATTCTGCATTCCAGTATCAACTCTCTGTTTCCTGTAATGTCATCTTATGCATTTTTCTGTGATTTTTTCAAAGGTAGGGGTGTGTGTGTGTGTGATACAGTATATTCAGGCATAACTCAGAGATACTCTAAAAGAAACTTTATAATAAAGGAAGTCACAGAACCTTTTTGGTTTCCCAGTGCATACAAAAGTTATACCATAGAGCCCATTAATTATGTAATAACATTAGGTCTAAAAAATGTATACCTTAATGTAAAAATACTTTATTGTTTAAAATGCTAATGATCATCTAAGACTTCGGCAAATCATAATCTTTTTACTGGTGGAGGGTCTTGCCTCAACATGAATGGGCTCCTGATGGTGGTTGCAAATTATAGGACGGGAGAGATGCATGTGGTGATTTCTTTTCTTCTTTTTAAAAGATGGGGTCTCATTCAGTCTGTCAGTGAGGCTGGAGTGCAGTGGCATGATCATAGCTCACTGCAGCCTTGAACTCCTGAGCTCCAGGGATCCTCCCACCTCAGCCTCCTGAGTAGCTGAACTATAGGCATATACCACTACATCCAGCTAAATTTTTTCATTTCTTATTTTAGAGATAGGGTATTGCTGTGCTGCCCAGGCTGGTCTCAAACTCCTGACCTTAAGCAGTCCTCCCACTTCAGCCTCCTGAATAATTAGGATTATAGGAAAGAGCCACTATGCCCAGCCTGGATGTGGCAATTTCTTAAAATAAGACAGCAGTGAAGTTTATCACATCAATGGACTCTTTCTTTCACGGAAAATATCTCTGCAGCTTACGGCACTCTTTGGTAGCATTTCACCTGCAGTAGACCTTCTTTCAACACTAGAGTCATTCTCAAAGACTTTATCAAGAAAGTTTATGGAATATTCTAAATCCTTTGCTGTCATTTCAACCGTGTTCCTAGCATCTTCACCAGAAGTAGATTTCATCTCAAGAAGCTTTCTTGGCTCATCCGTAAGAAGCAGCACCTCATCCGTTCAAGTTTGATGATTCCATCAGTCATCATTTTCAGGCTCCACTAGTTTCTACCACATCTTCCTCCATGGAAGTCTTGAAGCTTTGACTACCTCCTATGAATCATGAATGTTCTCAATGGAATCTTGAATGGTGAATCTTTCCCAGAAGGTTTTAATTTACCTTTCCCACATTCATTAGAGAAATCACTGTCTATAACGCTGCATTCTTATAAGACATATTTCTTAGATAATAGGACTTGAAAGTCAGAATTACACCTTGATCCATTAGCTACAGAACGGATGTTGTCTCCTTGTACATGTCCATCACAGCGCTTGGGGTTCATTGTCAGTGCGCAGTAACAGTTTGAATGGAACCTTTCCTTCTGAGCAGGAGGTTTCTATGCTAGGCTTAAAATATTCAGTACATCTGAATGCTCTAAACAAATGTGCTGTCATTGAGGCTTTGTTGTTCCATTTATAGAGCACAGACAGAATCTATTTAGCATAATTCTTATGGGTCCTAGAATTTGCAAAATGGTAAATGATCATTGGCTTTTCCCTGATGTCACCAGCTGCATTAGCCCCTGACAGGAGAGTGAGCTCATCCTTTGAAGCTTTAGCGCTAGACATTGACTTCTCCTCTCTAGATATACAAGTCCTAGATGTCTCAAATAGACGTTCTGTCTGTATAGACAATCTGTTACTTAGCTAAGCCCCCTTCATCCGTTACCTTAGCTAGATCTTCTCGATAACCTGCTGCAGCTTTTACATCAGCACTTGCTGCCTCAGCCTGCACTTTTGTACCTTGCTTTAACCCTCTCGAACCAATCTCTGCTTCTTTCAAACTTTCCTTCTGCAGCCTTTTCACGTCTCTCAGGCTTCATAGAATTGGAGAGTTAGGGCCTTGCTCTGTATTAGCTTTTGGCTTAAGGAAATGTTGTGGCTGCTTTATCTTCTATTCAGATTGCTAACACTTGCTTCATGTCATCAAGAATACTTAACCGTTCTTGTGTTCACTGGAGTAGCACTTTTAATTCCCTTGAAGAACTTTTCTTTGCATTCACAACCTGGCTGTTTGGCCCAAGAGTCCTTGCCTCCAGCCCATCTCAGCTTTGGATGTGCCTTACTAAGTTTAGTCACTTCTAGCTTTTGATTTAAAGTGAGGGACTTGTGACTTTCTGTCACTTGAACAGTTAGAGGACATTATAGAAGTTATTAATTGGTGTAATTTCAATATTATTGCTTTTAGGGAACAGGGATGTTCAAAGACAGGGAGGGAGAAGGGGGAACAGCCAGTTGGTGGAGCAGTCTGAATACACACATTTATCAATTAAGTTTACCATCATATATAGGTGTGATTCATGGTACCCACAAATAATTACAATGGTAACATCAAAGATCGCTAGTTATAGATCACCATAATGGATATAATAAAATAATGAGAACGTTTGAAATATTTTGAAAATTACCAAAATGTGACATAGAGACTCAAAGTGAGCACTTGCTGTTGGAAAAATGACGCCGATATCCTTGCTGTACAGAGCGTTGCCACAAAACTTCAATTTCTAAAAAAAACAGAAACACAGTATTTGTGAAGCACAGTCAGCAAAATGCAGTAAAACAATGTATGCCTCGAACATATACTGCCAACAATTTATACATATATTAAATTCTCAGAAAAGGCTGTAGAAATTCACACTCCTTCTAACAT